CCCATGTCAGGCTTCCTGCATAGAGCCTGCTTCTCCCTCTGCCTGTGTCTCTGCCTCTCTCTCTCTCTTTCTCTCTCTCTCTGTCTCTCATGAATAAATAAATAAAATCTTTAAAAAAATAGGCAAAAGATTTGAATAGATTTTTCACTAATCCAGATAGAGAACTGGCCAGTAAGCACATGGAAAAATGCTCAACATCATTAGTCATTAAAGAAATGCAAATTAAATTCATAGTGAGATACCACTATACACCCATAATCAAAAAGACTGACCATAAATACCAATGCTGGCAAGGATGGAAACTGGAATCCTCACACATTGTCAGTGGGAATGTAAAATGGTATAACTACTTTGGAAAACCATTTGGCCATTTCTAAAAATTCAATACAAACTTACCACGTGGTCTAGAAATTCAACTCCTAGGTAACACTACTCAAGAGAAATGGGGATATATATATAGATATATATACACAAAAACTTGTATGGGAATGTGGAAGCAGAATTTTCATAACACAAAACCTGCAAACAATCCAAATCCCTATCAACTGATGAACGAGCAAATTGTGATACATCTATACAACAGAATATTATTCAGCAATAAAAAGGAATAAACTACTGAGACATGCTACAACATGGATGAACCTCTGTAACTTAATGCTAAATAAAAGAAGCCAGACTCAAAAGACCACATAATGTATTATTTCATAAGAAATTTCCAGAAAGGGCAAATCTATAGGAATGGAAAGTAGATCAATTATTGCCTGAAACTGGGGATGGGAACAGGGATTAATTGCAAATGGGAACAAGGGTATTGGAGGGAGGTAGATGGAAATGTTCTAAAACTGGATTTTGATGATGGCTGCAGAACTCTATAAAATTTTTAAGTTAAAATTACTGAATTGTATGTTTATAATAGGTGTATTTTATTTTATGTGACTGACACTTCAATGAAGCTGTCAAAAAGATGCACACGGTAAAATAATGCTACATATTTCACAAAGACATATGTATATATGAGGAGCCCTATCGAATGTATGAGAGTGGAGATGTACAAATTGCAAAAATATTAAGGAGAGGGTTGTTGCACATGAGAAGAATGTGCCAAGAACTGGGAAATGTGGTTATCTCAACTTTGTCCTCCATGATCTGAAAGAGAAAACAATCAAACAAGCTATCATCAGCAGGACTTTCAAAATTACTGGTAGGATGGGGAAAATAATAATTATATCTGTAGAATGCTTTACTATTTACAAAGCTCTTCCACATACATCTTCTCACTTAATTCTCAAAATAGCTCTATGAAATACATATAACTATGTCCATCTTAGTTAGTGATAGATTCACTGAGACTCAGATTGGTCACCGAGCTTCTGACACAGGAGACTCTTAAACCCAGTGCTTTTCCCTACCTCCCTTGGCTTGGCTGATCCAATCAGATTCTTTTCCCCAGATATTTGGAATTAGACAACAGTGAGTCTCCATGATCATATAAGCACTAAGGACATATAAACCTCAGAGTTGTGGAATGGCAGTATCTTTTAATAAGGTACATGAAGAAGACAGACACCTTGCCTGCAAAGAAAGTAGAATGAAGCTAATTCAGTGACAAGAGGCTATGCGGCTCCAGAGGCACACATTCACACCACAGTAGCCACGGAGATGTGCCACCCGGATCTTCTTCAGAGAAAGACTTGCTACCTAGTCACAAAGAGTGCAGCCCAGCAGTCAGCTCCAACTGCAGAGAAGCCTCTTGCCCAAGACCATGGCCTTTCTGGGGCAGCCAGTATCAGATGACCACATGGGGTCAGATATAAAGAATGAGGCAGTTCCGCCTGAAGTTGGACACTCTAAAGACAAATACTTTCTCTGAGCTACCTGTCAGGCTGGCCAAGCCTTGTCAGACCTGCATTGCAACTTAAATGCTTTCTCTGGCTAATCCTGCTGCTGCTTCTTTCTCTTCATGGGTATTGATCCCTAACAACTCCTATTAGCATCTGTTTCTGAATAGCCCATACTGCAACACATCACAACACTTAGCCATACACAATAAAACTCAGACTTCTATGGGTGCCTGGGTGGCTTAGTGGTTGAGTATCTGCCTTTGGCTCAGGGCCTGACCCCAGGGTCCTGGGATCAAGTCCCATATCAGGCTCCAGGGAGCCTGCTTCTCCCTCTGCCTGTGTTTCTGTCTCTCTCTCTCTGTATCTTGTGAATAAATAAATAAAATCTTTAAAAAGAAAAAAAAAATAACAAAGCAAAACCTTAGCCTTCCAGGCTTTCTGGTTCCTGGCTCTTATGTGGACACAGCTGTAATTCCACTTCCTGGCTTTTATCTTAAACTAGCTCAAATGCAAACAAAGGGCTTTGATCAGAACATTAATTTTCTGTTTCAGTGATGCCACTAAATAGCCATTTAATCTTTTTATTCATGAGAGACACAGAGAGAGAGGCAGAGACACAGGGAGAGGGAGAAGCAGGCTCCATGCAGGGAGCCCAACGTGGGACTCGATTCCAGGTTTCCAGGATCACGTCCTGAGCTGAAGGTGGCGCTAAACCGCTGAGCCATCCGGGCTGCCCCAATAGCCATTTAATCTTAAGCAAATCATTTTATTTCTCTGGGTCTTTGTTTTCTTACGTGTCTATTGGAGGGTCAGGAAAGGCCCTTCTAATCATTCTATCGTCAAGCAGACAGTTGACTACACAAAATGCCTGCTGAGCCACAGAGATGGTTTAACCAACCCTAATGTACACTTTTTCATGGCATTTCAGTATAGCTAAGATGCTTTCCTAGAAAGCATTCCTATGTTTCTGGCTGTTAAAATGATCTCATATATGATTTTGGCAAAGGGCCATTTAACAAAGTGGTTAGGAGAGCTGCAAAGTGATGTCTGGTGCAGAGGCAGGAGACAGAAGTGATAGGCACAATCCTATAGTGAAGGAGCTGGGCTTGTCCCCCTACTCCACTAGGTGCAAAAGGGTGGGTGGGTGGGTGGGGGAGGAGGTTGAGGAACTGGATAGGAATTCAGCGACATATAACTCCATATAACCTCCGCCTCCCTTTCCTTGTCCTTGTCCTATCTCCATCCTTGTACATAATGCCGTGCTCTATACTCCAACCCCAAGTTCCCTCCTTTAGGACCACTCAAGCCTCATTTTTCCTTCAAAACTACCATTCAACAATACTACCACAACCTCCAATATCTTCATGAAAACTACCATCCCACAGTGTTGAGTGTTGAACTTAAGTAAATGATTAGCTGTGATGCTATCAAGGAGCTTTACTGGTTCAACGATTTTCCCTCCAGTGACTGTTAAAAAACACAGATTACAAGAACAAATTTAGGGAAATGACAAAAGTTCTAAAATCTTACAGTCTTTCCTTCTGGTGTCTGATCTGTAGTCCCAGAACTTTTCCTCTACATAAATGGAAATTCACATGGTTTTACTCTTAGGATCAACATTCCCTCTTGGTGCTCCCATTTCACAAATCTTGTCTTTAGCAAAAACCACATGGATTCTTTCTATCATTTAACCCTTTCCCCAGTGTGAATATGTGATCTGGCCTGAAAATCCAATTAGGCTTTCTTTGACTCCATGGGCAACAAGAACCTCCAAGTAACTCCAAAAGAGAAGACTATCCAAAAAAAAAAAGAGAGAGAGAGAGAGAGAGAGAGAAGACTATCCATATGATTCCTCTGGAAGCTTCTTCCTTGCAACCTATATAAGAAGATTTTACTAAATTCTCCAATTGACTTCAGTGCTCCTTCCAGCACTGCTTAATCCCTGGTGCCCCAACTAGGTCTCGAAATTATCTCCCTCTCTCGCTCTGCTCACCTATTAAAAATCCCCATTCCTTGACCAACTTGCAAACGAATTATACTATACTTAAAATGCCCGGCATTGAGGAGGTAATACAAAGCAGCCTACAGCTGAGAAGCCATTTCTCTGAAGTCTCCTTTATGCAGCAAGAAAAATACATCTCCTATGAAGTCTCCTTACACGTGAGAAAAATACCTCACAGACATGATGTGAAGATCAGGTGAAAGTGCCTAACGCCCAGTATGTGATAGTAATAACCTAGAAAAGTAACTGAAACAGATAAATGTGTGGGGTTTGTTTTTTGCATTTTTGTGCCTATTTTTTAGGCCTATTCCTGGGGATTGAACTTTTGGCTCAGTCTTTAAATCCCTATATATGTTCTCTTAAAGAAGAATCCAGCAGGATTCTGGAAATGGGAAACTGGCTGTTACTGATGGCGCCGAAAGAATAAAAGTTAATTCCCTTTTTTCCTGTCTGAAACCTTTCAGGACTCCCTGTAACAATAGCCACCTTATAATGGAGTTTATTTCAATAACTACTGGCTTATTTGCATGCACGATTCCATTGAATCTTCACAGGAAGGCCAAGTTTTGGAATTCCATCCTCTCTAGTGTACAGGCGAAGAATGAAGCCTAGATGCAGGGCATCAAGTGTTTTTGTTTGTTTGTTTTCTTTCTTTCAAGTGTTTCTTCCATTGTCATGCAAGAGTGACGGGGCCCAGGGGCAGCGCTGGTGGCTCAGCGGTTTAGCGCCGCCCGCAGCCCAGGGCGTGACCCCGGGGTCCCGGAATCGAGTCCCACGTCGGGCTCCCTGCGTGGAGCCTGCTTCTCCTTCTGCCTGTGTCTCTGCCCCTCTCTCTGTGTGTCTCATAAATAAATAAATAAAATCTTTAAAAAAGAGAGACAAAAGAGTAACCGTCCCTAGAGACCTGGCGAGGTCCTCCCAGGCCCGCGCGGTCAGAGCCCTGCTGCCCCGCCCCTTCCCTCCCTCTCCACCGAGGAGGTGGCCGCGCACGGATTGGGGGCGGGGAAAGCAGGCGGACACCGCCTCCCCGGGGGATGGGTAGAGCGAAGCCCCGCCCCGGAAGTGGCTCTCTCAGTGGGCGTGGCCTCACGCCGATTCTCTCGGAGCCTCTGGGCCCAGACTGCTGCAGGGCCGTAAAGGGCTCTCCGAGTCGTAAAGTGGCGAGGCGCGGCAGCGTTGCTCTACGACTACTTGGAACGAGGGCGGCAGCCCGGCGTTCGCGGCTTGGCGATTTTCGGCACCGCACGTGGGTGACTGTCGGTGTTCGGGCCCGGAATTCGTTCCCTTTGGCGTGGACAAGCCACACTGAAGGACAGAGTGGCAGCGGAGACCGCGGGGTCGTGAGCTGATGGATATTGCTGTTGAAGATGAGGGGACTTTGGGAGGAGGTCTGCAGAGTGGAGCTGAGGGGGCGCGGCTGAGGCTCGCGTCCGACGGGGAGAGAGTCGGGGGCACCGCAGTGACGGAAGTTGGCAGCGTGGGAGCGGGGAGCGGACTGGCAGGAGTGGAGAAGGCGGAGGACGGGGAAAGGAGTGGACAGAAGGCCGAGGAGATGCGAGTGGACCTAACGGTTGTGAAGCAAGAAGTTCTGGATTGGTCGGAAATGGAAGAAGGCCGGTGGGTAAAGCAGGAGGCGGAGGACGCGCCTGAGGTGAAAGAGGAGAAACCAGGCGTATCGGAGGTGAAGCAGGAGATGGATAGGAGTTTTGAGGTGAAAGAAGAGAAGGGGAGTGAAGCAGAGGTAAAAGAAGAGAAAGTGACGGTGAAGGAAGAGGCGATGGACTGGCTAGATGTGAAGGAAGAGAAGAAAGATAATTTGGAGATAAAAGAGGAAGCGTTTGTTACTCAGAACATAAAAAAGGAGGAAATGATGGATGAAGTGAGTGTGAAGGAAGAGAAGTATCTCCCAAAGGAAGAAGTGATGGATGATGCGAAGGTGAAAGAGGAGCCTCGGATAAATCCCCCAGCGGGTTTCAAACGGAAACTGGCCATGTCCAGGTAGGACAGGGAGAGTTTCATTGGGAAAATGAGGTGTGGAGTCCTCTGTTGTCTGGGATGTAGGAAATCTAGCAGCCGGGTGTCAAATAATGAAAAATAAGTGCCATCTTGGGTCTCTGGAGCCAGCGTGTTGGTGGTGGAGGTGTGTGTGGGGGGGAGGCAGGGTTTTGTCAGAGGACAACACATTCGGTGAAAATACGTCAGGCTGTAAGTGGCCAGTGCACAATGGCCAAGTCAGAAAATTCTGGGGACTAGAAAACTCTTGGACCAGATTCTGGTTTGACCTAATATGCTCTTGACTCAATATTCCTTAAAAGAGGATAGGCATAAAGAAAAGTCTACTAAACTAACAGGGATACCGTGGATCGTTAAAATTAGAAATGCACTTGAACTCACCCAGCTGTCTACTTCCTCTATGGATACTGTGAATGTTTATTGCTTTATAGTTAATCTCCTTTACTTTGTGATCATGTGACAGCATAGGAAATAGAAGAGTGGTCACATTCTTGGGACTCTTCCTGTCTAGAACAGACTGGGCCAAAAAGAAATGGCTGTAGTTTGGTTGTCAGTCCTAAGCTCCTAGAAAAGCAATTGGAGACAGATGATGGGTAAGAGAATTTCCAGATTATTTTAATGCTCATTTCAGGTTGGGTGTGGAGATGAGAAGAGATGCCGCTGATACTACGTATTTAACCTGGTCTCCTACTTTTTTGTGGTGTGTGTGCCTTTAAGGTATTTGAATTCACGGATTGGACCTCTGGTTATGTGCGCACGTGCGCAGACGTACAAACACAATCATTAACAGACTGCCAGGAATCACAAGTTAAAATAGTAGTGAGCAATCTCATTCTGTGATCGCAATAGCAAAAGAAGTCAAAAGCGAGATTTAAAACTTACTACATGTTTTCTTGGATTATGTAGTACTAACAATATTGTAAATGTCGTTTAGAGACAGTTTCCTAGAGGAGAGTTTTCTAAGGATGTTTGACAACTATCAAGTATTTTATCAGAGTTACTTGCATATACCTTATTCACTGACTACATGTCTTTAAATTGTTGGTGATGAGTCATTGACTCAGCGTTAAAGATTATAGATAAATGAGTAGAATTAATATTTGATAATTTATTAAGTTTCCTGTGGGCTTTTGTAGGTGTGAAACCTGTGGTACAGAAGAAGCCAAGTACAAATGTCCACGTTGTATGCGATATTCCTGCAGGTATATATGTAATTTCCTACCTTACTACCCATGTCTGTACCCATCGTACCTCAGTATAAAAGTACCTCCTCTTTGTCTCTTCAGTTTGCCCTGTGTGAAGAAACACAAAGCAGAACTGACATGTAATGGAGTTCGAGATAAGACTGCATATGTTTCCATACAACAGTTTACTGAGATGAATCTCCTAAGTGGTAAGTCATCTTAGGCATAGCGGTTTGATCTTCCTGGCCACTGGAATATGTCATTTATTTTTCTATTTTGAAATTTTTAGATTATCGGTTTTTGGAAGATGTGGCAAGAACAGCAGACCACATTTCTAGAGATGCTTTCTTAAAAAGACCAATAAGCAATAAACACGTAAGTATTTATTTTTTCCATCACTTCCAGTTAAAATTCTTTTTATCAGTTAGATTCATTTTTTTTTTTTTTTCACCGAATACATGGTGAGCAGCTACCGTGATCCAGAGCTATTCCAGTTACTAGGGGTACATCAGTGACCAAAACTAAGTTCTTCTCATGGAGCTTGTATTGTGTGGGGAAAGACAGGAGATGAGTAGAGGAACAAAGATAATTTCAGATAGAGTTTAGTGCATGTGGAAAATAAAGCAAGCACAGGAGATTAAAGAAAATGAAAATGGTGTTTTTTGGGAGGAGGTTATGAGTATCTTCAATACAGTAGTCAGGAGAAGTTTCTCTGAGAGATGACATTTAAGCAATGATCTGAATGAGAAAGAGGCAGCCACGTGAACCTTTGGAGGAAGACTGTTCTAGGTAGTGACAAAAACAGAAGTAAAGACTGTGTTAGGAGTAAGGTTGGTGTGTTTGAGGATTGAAATGGGGACGTGGTGACTGAAGTATAATTGCATAAAGAGAAGAATATTCAACATGAGGTTAGAGAAACTGGTGAGGACTCCTAACGTATTCTGAGTAAAAATGGAAGCCATGAGAGGGTTTTGAGCACATTTGCTTTTTGAAATATCACTCTTGCTGCTGTCTGAAAAATGAGCTTTAGTGGGCAAGAGTGGAAGATTGAAAGGGAGGATAGTTAAAAAGCTTTTGCTATGGTTCAGGTGAAAAATGATGGTGGCTTGGATAATGCTGTTAAATTATTGGAAAGTGTTTAGATTCTAATTTTGAAGGAAGAACTAACAGGACTTGCTATTTTATTTATTTATTTATTTAGATTTTTAATTTATTTATTCATGAGAGACAGAGACACACACAGAGAGAGAGAGAGAGAGAGAGGCAGAGACACAGGCAGAGGGAGAAGCAGGCTCCATGCAGGGAGCCCAATGTGGGATTTGATCCCAGGACTCCAGGATCACGCCCTGAGCCGAAGGCAGGCACTAAACCGCTGAGCCACCTGGGCGTCCCGGCTGTTTTATTTACTTACTTACTTACTTATTTATTTATTTATTTATTATTATTATTTATTTATTTATTTTAATAAATTTATTTTTTATTGGTGTTCAATTTGTCAACATACAGAATAACACCCAGTGCTCATCCCATCAAGTGCCCCCCTCAGTGCCCGCCACCAAGTCACCCCCAACCCCCACCCACCTCCCCTTCCACCACCCCTAGTTCGTTTCCCAGAGTTAGGAGTCTTTCATGTTCTGTCTCCCTTTCTGATATTTCCCACTTATTTAATACACTTAATTTTCATACTCTTTCATCCCTTTTGCATTCCGTAAACAGTATGCAAAATTAAAACTTACATATTGGAAATATTTTGCAACTGCTATTCTAGAAATTCTTTAAGAGTGTTTTAAATCATGTCATGAAATTATGTGCCTTTTTCAAAGACCATTTTAGCATTGGAGTTGCAGAATTTTAGCTCTTAATTTTAACACCTTATTTTATTGTTACTACTGGTACCAACTTGACATTTCACATATCTGAAAGAAAGATTACCATGCATGTTTTTCAGAAGCTTAATTAAGGATAATTAAGCATAATTACAATTCTGCTTAAAAGATAAATTTTTAATTTTTTTGTTTTTATCATGAAGTATTTCATGCATGTTAAAAAAGCATAAAATATAAAGAACACTGTTTAATGAATAATCATAAAGTGAACCAATCCATGTAACTACCACTTAGGTCTGGAAAAAGAACATTATCATCTTTTCAAAAATTTCTGCCTTGTGCCATTCCCTGATCATTCTTCTGAATGGTTTCTAGTTTAGGACCTGTATCATTTATTTATCCATTCTTTGGTTCATGGACTCAAGTTTTCTGTAATAACAGCAACAACAAAACCTTAAAGTATTGCAGTGAGTACTTTTGTTTATGAATTGTGGTTTTTGTCCAAACATGTTTTTTCTAGGATTTATACCTAGCAATGGAATTACTCTGTTGTGGGATATGCACATCTTCAGCTTTACTAGATGTAACCAAAATATTTTCTGAAGTAGTTACACTAGTTTAGATTCCCAATATTGTGTGCACCTGTTGTCACATCTTCTCCAAACTTGATTTGGTCAGAGTTTTAAAATTTTTATCAGTTTGGGGGATCCCCGGATGATTCAGCGTTTAGCGCTGCCTTCGGCCCAGGACATGATCCTGGAGACCCGGGATCGAGTCCCTCATCAGGCTCCCTGCATGGAGCCTGCTTCTCCCTCTGCCTGTGTCTCTGCCTTTCTCTCTCTCTCTCTGTCTCTCATGAATAAATAAATAAAATCTTAAAAAATAAAAATTTTTGTCAGTTTGATGGCTTTGTAGTTATATTGGGGTTTTTAATTTGCAGTTCTCTGATTTCTAATAAGATTGAACATCTTTCAAATATTTTATTGGCCATTTGGATTTCATTTTGTAGAAAGTTTGTCTCCTGCTCATCTTTTTACTGGTCAACTTCCTTTTTCTTACTGGTTTGTAGGAATTCTTATATTTCTTAAATGCCTGTTGGTAGTTGATTGTGTTATAAATAGCTTCTTCCATTCTGTGGCTTGTTTTTCACTCTCTGTAGTGTCTTTAATGAATAGATGTTCTTAATTTTAATGTAGTCAAATTTATCATATGTTTCCATTATAATTAGTAGTTTATATGTTTATAAAGAAATTCTTTCCTACTTTGAAGTTATGAAGCTATTCTCTCATATTTTCTAAAAGCTTTATAGTGTTGCATCTCACATTTATATCTGTAAACTACCTGAGATTAATTTTTGTATATCAAATGAAGCAGAGATCCCATTTAATTTTAATTAATGGATAATGCACTTTCTTAGCTCCAAAGTTCATCCTTTCTTTACTGCTCTACAGGACTGCCTTTGTAATATATCAGGCATCCATATATTCTTGGGTCAGTTTCTATTCTATTCTGTTGGTCTACTTGTCTATCCACACCAATACTAAACACTCTCTATTGTTTTTTACTGCAACTCACTGTTTCCTAGACTAATTCCTCTGACTTTGTTCATTTTCTGGAGTATGGCTATACTCTAGTGTGGATATGGCTCTTTGTAATTCTATACAAATATGAGGAATCGGCCTGTTGATTCTACAATCCCGTTTCCCCACCTGGGAATTTTAATTGGGGTTGCATTTATTTAGTAATGAGATTTTTGTTATTTATTTTATGGTATTCTAATCTGCATTTTACAGAATTAAAATCTACACCTGTGCTTTATCTATAGATTCCTTGAGATTTTCTCTATTATCTTTCTATCCTTATTCTTTTTTTCTTATTGGAATAGTTAGGACTTACCATCCAGGGTTAGTACCAATGATGATAGTAGATATTTATGTTGTAAGTCTCAAGTCCTCCCCTAGCTCTCATTTGCTAGATGGAGTCACATGACTCAACATCCAGTTGTACTCATGTCTAAAATTTTTTACAGTGAAAGAATACAGAGCAAAATGAGCAAAAAGAAAAGGAGCATAGCCTGTAGGAATCCAGTTGCAAGCTTCCACAAATCCTCTCCATTTGGAGTTACACAGTATGCAGTTAATTCCTCCTTCGATAACACATGTGAAGTATTGTCTGCTAGACAAGCTCGTTAAAAATTCACTACCCAGGGTTTTTTTGGGGGACTGATCACAGAAGCACCCTCTGTCCAGCAAGTGCCAAATTCCAGACTCCCAGAAGGAAAGCAAATAAAACCATATGGTTTATACAAACAATTCAGGCACAGTGGACCACACTTAACTGTTTTAGGAAAAGTCAGTTTAGGAAACCATTCACCGGTTATTCAAATTTCCAGGCACTTGCCAAGAGACAACTTTGCAAACAAAACCACCCAAAGATAACAGTCTCAGGCCTGCTACATTAACTCATCTGTACATCTTTGTCTTATAACTCTGGTCATGGAAGAAAAACTTCCAAGACTGCACCATGATGTTTGCTCTTAAATTTCTTTAAGATATAATTTGATACCTAGATTATGAAAATTCTAGTCCTAGTTTGCTCTCAGATTTTATCATGAATGGTGGTTATATTTTATTAAATGATTTTTCTGTATTTGATTATTTCATTTTTGTCTTTTAATCTATAATTTTCTAGTATGAAAGATCTTTTTAATTGGTTTTCTAATTTAAGCTTAACTTGCATGTGTGTTATTATCATATCATATGCTTTTTCTACTCTGTGGAATTCATTTGAATTATATGTGTGTGTCCACCTTATCCGTGCATTCATTTTGTATTTCTCTTTATGAGTGAGATTAACCTTTAATTTTCATTTTTAGTATTCTCAGTTTTCCTTTTTTTTTTTTATTCTTTTTTTTTTCTCAGTTTTCCATATCATTATGACTCTAGTTTCATAAAATTATTTGGGAATGTTCCCATTTTATTCTTGGATGCATTCACTAATGTTAGAATTACTTCCTCCTTGGTAAAAGTTTTACCTAACTCCCAAGTTGTTAAGAAACCAGTATGGGCTTAGAATTTGGGCTACTAAGGTATAGTCTTTACTTTTTGTGGGATTCTGCAGGTTTTCTGTGTCTTCTTGAGTTACTATTTCTAGATTACATTTTTCTAAGAATTTGTCCATTGGACCTAAATTTTTAAATTTATTGGCATAAAGTTATTCATAAACCTCTCCTTTAGATCTCTCTGGGAGTTGTAGTGATTTCATTTGTGATATTTGTGATATTGGTTATTTGTGCTTTTTTTCCCCTAGATTAGTTGCTGTTATGTGTTTTTTCTAGTTTGTTATTGTATCCTATCCCCTTGACTTTTGTTGTATCTTTCTTTTTTAGTTTAATTGCAGTGTGGTCAGAACATACTCTTAAGTTCATTCCTCTAAAATACATCAGTACTTGTATTTGTGGCCCAGTATATATGGTCAAGTTTTGTAGTGGTCTCTGCTTGAAAATAAGAATATTCTGCAGTTGCTGAATATAGTACTCTGTATACCCTTTTTAGGTCAGGTTTATTAACTATGTTGTTTAAATTGTTTATAATGTTACTGTTTGCGTGTATTTCTTCTATAAGTTTCAAAGAGAAGTATGTTAACATTCCCCAGTAGATAAAATCAAACAGACCTGTTTGTTTCCCTTGTGGGAGTTTGTTTTGCTTTATATGTTTTAAGGCTAAATTATTAAATGCATACCTCAGGAAATAACTTCTCGTTGGTGTATTTAACCTTTGGCATTATGAGCTGATCCTCCTTGTCTCTGGCTTTTTGTGTACTTTGACTAATAATAATAAAGCTGTATCAATTATTTGCATGGTCTGTTTTTTACTTATTTAAGGCCTTTCTGTATCCTTATGTTGTAGATAGCTGGCTTTCAGTTATTCTTCCATCTTACAATCTGTAACTTTTAACTAAATCATTAAGTTCATTTATATTTTATAAAATTACCTGTACGTTTGACTTTAAATTGTCACATCATTTTTGCTATTCGTCCCAATTTTTTTCTTCTTGCCTTTGGGCTTTTTTTTTTTTTTTTTAGTCATTTGAATTTTTCTCTTTATCATTTAGAAGTTATACACCCTTTTTCTATCCTTTCATTGGCTAAGCTAGATAATACAACATGCATGCTTAATTTACCATTATCTAAAGTTAAGTACCACCTGAACTCTGTGCCTAGACAATGCAAACAACCTTAGAACAGGAGTTGGCAAACTTTTTCTGTAAAGGGTCAAACAGTATTTTTTCCAGGCCATATGGTTTCTGTCACAACTATTCAACTCTGCTGTTGTATCAAGAAAGCAGTCATAAACAATATATAAACAAAAATGGGTGGGGCTACATTCCAAAAGAATTTATTTATCAAGATAAGTGGCAGGGAGATAACAGTTTACCAGCAGTTACCTTAAATTCCATTTAACCCTATACTGATTTATTGTTTTCAGTTCTTTAAATTGGCTTTTTAAAAAAATCTCCATACAGTAATTACTGTTTTTTTTTTCAGTCACTCTTTGAGTTTATCTTTTTTTTTTTTTTTTCAAGATTTTACTTATTTATTTGAGAGAGTGTGTGTGTGTGCACAAGCAGGGGGAAGAGCAGGGAAAGAGGGAGAGGCAGAAGCAGACTCCCTTTTGAGTGTGGACCCCGACACCAGGCTAGATCCCAAGACCCCAAGATCATGAACCAAAGTCAGACACAACCAACTGAGCCACCCAGGTGCCCTTTGAGTTTATATTTCTACTTTCTTTTTTTTTTTAATAAATTTATTTTTTATTGGTGTTCAGTTTGCCAACATACAGAATAACACCCAGTGCTCATCCTGTCAAGTGCCCCCCTCAGTGCCCGTCACCCATTCACCCCCACCCACCCTCCCCTTCTACCACCTCTAGTTCGTTTCCCAGAGTTAGGAGTCTTTATGTTCTGTCTCCCTTTCTGATATTTCCCACACATTTCTTCTCCCTTCCCTTATATTCCCTTTCACTATTATTTATATTCCCCAAATGAATGAGAACATATAATGTTTGTCCTTCTCCGACTGACTTACTTCACTCAGCATAATACCCTCCAGTTCCATCCACGTTGAAGCAAATGGTGGGTATTTGTCATTTCTAATGGCTGAGTAATATTCCATTGTATACATAAACCACATCTTCTTTATCCATTCATCTTTCGATGGACACCAAGGCTCTACTTTCTTTGCTCTTAATTCCATTACCATCTTAATAAATCTTACAATTGAGAGATTACTTTTCTCCTGCTTCAAGCACATCCTTTACAATTTCCTTTAGAAAAGATTTGCTGGTTGCCACCGTCTCTTTGTTTTGTTTTGTTTTTCTATTTATTTGCCATTCTTCACTCTGAAATGATTTTTCTCAATTTAGAAATTTGAGTTTAGAATTTGAGTTTCAGCATCTTACAGTTTCCATTGTTGTTGCAGTCATCTGCAACAGTTGCCTTTGAAATCATTTTTAATCTGGCTACATTTTTTTGCTATTTTTGCATTTTTTTAAATCTTTGGTGTTCTGCATTTGTGCTATACTACGAAGATGCAAATTTCTTTTTATTCATAGTAACTTGAAAATTGTTAGATTTGTTGACTCTGGCATATCTTCCATCAGTTCTTGGAAATTTTCAGCCCATTTCTATTAAAAGATTCCCCTGTCTTATTTCTTCTCTCTTCTAAAACTACCATTAACTCTGAGTTAAGTCTTCTCCCCATATCTTACCTATCCTTTAACGTCTCTGATTTTTTTTTTTAATCTTTTTTGTCTCTGTAATGTGTTCTGGAAATGTCCTGGTTTTATTTAGTTTTTTGAAAAATTTACTGAGTTAGTTTTTATAGTTTCTCTTCACTGTAAATATTTTCAAGCTGTTAGGTTTTCAAATTTTGCAGAGTTGTCCTGTGTATGATCATTTTAGTGTTTGAATATATGGGGAATTCTCAGCTACCTCTTTTTTCTCTTTTGGTTCCTATTCACTGGCATTTGTTTTCTTGTATTATTTATGTTTTTTTATTTTTTATTGAGTACTACTTTTTTTCTTAAATTATTTGTGAGAACTTTTTGAAGAGTGGGATGCAGGCCTTCTTTTACTCTGCCAGGGAATATTGCAATCTGGACCTATCTTAAACCAACTTGAAAGTTTAAGATTCCCTTGACTGTACAAGCAAGGCAAATCATATTAAATCTCAGCAAGAACTGGCCCATGGCCACAGCTTCTTCTTTTTTTTTTTTCTTTTTTTTTTATATTTATTCATAGAGACAGAGAGAGAGAGAGAGAGAGAGAGGCAGAGACACAGGCAGAGGGAGAAGCAGGCTCCATGCAGGGAGCCCAACATGGGGCTTAATCCTGGGTTTCGGGGATCACGCCCTGGACTGAAGGTGGGCACGTTTAAACCACTGAGCCACCTGGGCTACCCATGGCCACAACTTCTAATGAATTGTTTTTCCTTTTTCCCCTCTGTTACAGTCGTTCCAATATAAATTTCCTCACATGCTCTGGGGGCAGGGTTTATCTCTGATTCACCCTTATCTTATTATTATTAGGTATATTCCGTGACTGAGATTCATTTGAGGAGGGGTTTCTAGAAGATTATAGGGTCTTAAGTCTGACCTTGTTGCTGAGATGGCTGCTGAAAGGGAAAGCCTATATTTGCCAGAATTTGCAAAAGTGGCTTCATTGCTTTGCTTACCTTTCCGAATTTTCACTTCTCATTAAAGATTGGCCTCTATTTTCCTGGGTTTTTTTTTTTTTCTTCCAGCTCTTCAATGCTTTTAAGGTGATGTTTACATATATTTTATTACATATATGTTTTTCCCCTACTACCTGGCATTATTAGATGTTTTCAGTGGGAAGGTTGGTCCTTATAATCATTGCTATTACTAAAACCAAAATCCCATAAGTTATAAAATTGGTTGTAATTTCTTAAATTATTTCCCTTCTTAACAAGTGATAACGTACTCATCCTTTCCTTTGGCTTATGATATAATTGTCTGACTCTTTGCATTGCAAAAATTCTAGACTCTCATTCACTTAACCAAAACCTTGCATTTATACTTTGCTATTTCAGTGATCAAAGAAGTCTTGATGATATTACTTGCTTCACTACTGTCTGGAGTTGACTAGTTTATCTCAACCAACCCAGATAGATGGTCAGTGGAGAAACAGATCAGATTATTCACATAGCCCATTTTGTATAGTCGGCAACAATGGCTACTCTAATTTGGGCCTTGTACTAAGTAATGCCGTGGTTCCTCCCCTGAGTGAACTACCTGTCTTATAATTAAAGCAGGCATTTATACAGCTAAGTATGGCATAAACTCTTTAGTAAAAGGAAAGGAACTGTACAGGTATCCCCTATGAATTGCCAAGTGTCCTATATTTTTAAAAATCCCATTAAATCCTCCTTTGGCTTAGAGCATATGGTTAAAAAGACAGGCTATAGAATTAGACATACCTGAGTTTGAATACAGGCTGTGTCTCAGAAATAGCTGCATAATGTTGGCATCTCATTAACTTTCATTCCTATATTGGGTGTAGTAATAGTATCTATCTGATAATATTGTGAGGATTAAGTGAAATATTGCTGTTTAGTACAGTTTGTGAAATGTAGGTACTCAATAAATCTTAACTATTATATTTCCAAATATTGTTTTACTCACTTCTGAAATGTAAGCCATTTTAAAATTAATTTGTCTTATTTTTGGTTGTTAGATGTACTTTATGAAAAATCGTGCCAGAAAACAAGGTATTAACTTAAAACTTCTACCTAATGGATTCACCAAGAGGAAAGAAAATTCAACATTTTTTGATAAGAAGTAAGTTTCTAACTTCATTCTTAGTATATTGGGTATTCTGATTTGATCAAGAACATGGTTTTGGTTTGGTTTGCTATAAAGCATTGTTAAGGTTTGGTTTGCTATAAAGCATTGTTACCCACAATGTAGTGTGTGAACTTTTTGATATTGGTCTATGCCAGGATAATTGCACAAATTGAAAATAAGCATTTAGAAACTTACACCAATGTTATGTCATGTGTAAGCTTCAATAAGCTTCAGCTTATTTGGTAAGTGTGTATATATGTGTATATCTGAGACCTAAGAAACCATGGAAGTATTTCAAAGCTTACAGCTTTGACTGGAGCAGTTTGGCTTTTATAATAATTTCTTTGGGGTTCCAATAAGATTTCACTTGAAAACCAGTGTTGAGAAAGAGGGAAGCTTGGAAAACATTTACTCTGTAGTAAATCTGTGAGTACAGATAATAGAGATTAGTCTGCTCCTTTCTGTGAGTACTAGGTCTGAAAGGTTCCATTAGTACCGAAGAGAACAGGATCCCAAAATACTGTAAGTAGGCTACTAAATGATTAGATGATACTTTTCAAATGTCAGGATTGTTGATTTAGAGTAAAAAATCCTGAGTTATCCTTCAACCTCTTAGTAACTGCAAGGCCTTGAGCAGATGACTTTCTCTGGGCCTCATCTATAGGATGTAAGGGTTGTAGTAGATTAACTAAGATACTTTAATCATTTCATAAGCTGAAAAGGCAGAACCATCAGAATTATTATTATTCTAATAAACTTCCCACCTTTTCAGAAAATGTTATATTAGAAGGTGGTGTTATCCATTTGTTTTATGTTTCATGACAAATATTTGTAAAAGTGGTTTTCCTTTTTCCTGGGTAGCTTCCAGAAATAAAGTAAAATTTTTCATTTATCATATATGAGATGATTCCATTGTGCATTTTGAAACTGACAGATTTAAAAATAGACATAATTTATTTGACATTTAAGATAACGGTTTATGCCTTCTCAAATATAAAATATATTCCTGTGTTATGAAGGAAACCATTCACATTGATTGTCATCAGAGCTTAGTTCTTAGTGTTAGAAAGTATACACCCTCAAATGTAAAATTTTGGGGTCTCTAGATAGATGAATGTATATGGGAAGTTTTTTTTTCCAAAAATAAACAGTATATTTCTTGGGTTTAGAACCCAAATTTATACTTGGTTATTTTGGAACACTGAGATCTCTGAAGTAGCAAATTGGACTCTTTGCATTATGCCTTTTGCTTATGAATTTAGAGTTATTTGGAGTTGGGTTTTTTAATAATTTTTTAGTGTTTTCACATGAGGAGATTAGCAGCATAGTTCATAATAGGCTTTAGAGTCCATTTCTTAGCTATTTTCACATCCATAAAATGGAGCTAATAATAGTATTGTATAGAATTGTGACCTTTAATATAATAGTTCACCTAACCACTAACTGGAGTTAGGAAGAAATCAGTGTATATAGCAACTGTGAAAATAATATATCCTCATCATAAAAAAGTTTAAAGGAAAAAATAGCACCTGTAATTCCATTATATAGAGATGACCACTGATAACACTGCATGTTTGCTTCTTTTTTTTTTTTTTTTTTTAAGATTTTATTTATTTATTCTGAGAGGGAGAAGGGGCAGACACAGGCAGAGGGAGAAGCAGGCTCCATGCAGGGAGCCTGACATGGGACTCGATCCCAAGACTCCAGGATCACACCCTGGGCCGAAGGCGGCGCTAAACCGCTGAGCCACCCTGGACTGCCCTTCATGTGTGCTTCTAATGATGTTTTCTTCTTTTTTCCATTAGTAAAATAAAACATAATATTAAATACCTAAGAGTATATACAAAGTTACATGACTTTTTTCAAGTTACATATTTCTAATTTTTTATGAATAAAAGAATACTTTTTTGCAACCAGGAACTTTTTTCTTGTTAATGCAAATCTGCCTTATTTTGAAGTAGTATATTCTAGCTATGCCTGCTATACTTTATTTAATTATTCCCATATTCATGAACATTTAGCCTATTTCTAGTTTTTAATTTTTAGAAATAATGTCATAATAAACATCACATTAAATAATTCTTCCATAAAATTTTTTGTGTGCTTACATGACTTTCTGTACAGTCTCTAGAATGTAGAATTACTGGATCAGAGACTACATGCATTTAAAATTTTGAGAAAAACTCCAAATTGTCCTCCACAAAAAGTTCCACATTATATCTTCATCAGAAAAGTATGAGAGTGCCTATTATAGTTATACTTACCCTTTAATTGAATATAATTAAACTTTTGTGTATCTCGTTATTGGAAAGAATGAGCTCTTGAATTTTTTCTTGTAAGATATGCCTGTTTATAGCTCATCTTATTCTATTCCATACATAGGGAATCTTTTCACCAGCCTGTTTATCCTTTAATTTGGTCTTACAGTCATTTTTGATGCATTTTAAATAGTTGTAAAAAATTCTCTACAACATAGAGATAGTAAGGTGGAGTAGTTTAAGAGCACAAACTGGAGCCAGGATGCCTGTGTTCAAATTTATGATCAGCCTCTTCCTAGCTATGTGATACTAAGCTAAACCACCTAATTTGTTTTTGCCTCAGTTTCCTCATCTGCAAAGTGTGAGATGTAATAATAAACTGGGACTAAACCAGTTTTCATTTCCATTTGTAGTATATGAGAATACCTGTTTAAACATCTCACTAATAGTTTTTTCTTTAAAAAAATGATGCTATAAAAAAAAGATGGTAACTTGAAAGGTTGAAATGACAGTTTTTAAAATTTGCTTTTTATTTAATTTCTACTGAGGTATGTAATATTTGACTACATGTTTCAGAGTGACACCTTAAAAGTTAAAAGTGTGAAGTTTGACTTAATCTAATCTGTAAGATCTTTCATTCATAGGAGCATTTCAGGGGTCAGTTCAGTGAAAAAAATAATTCATTCAAAGTTCTATGTAACTAAATTTTTCCATTTGTTTGTTGTTAAATTGCCCATTATTACTTTTAAATGAAAATGGTTTTGCTACTAACTGAATTTAAAATGTCTATATTTAGATGTTAGATTAATAAAGCACTAAGGTGAGTTCTCAGTTAGATGAAAGCCATACTGAATATTGAGAATATTGCTGGTTAATTGATAATCAGCTTGGAAATGTGTTTAGTATGTCCCAATATTTTGTTCATTCTTGTTCAGCATTTTCATCAGTGATTTAGTTCATGATTTCTCATCTTGGCTCTTTTGACATTTTGAGCAAGACAATTCTTTGTTGTGGGGGGGTTATTAGCATTTTAGGATGTTTAGTAGCATCCCTTGCCTCTGCCCACTAGATGTTAGTACACATGCAGACACACACACACACACACACACACACACACACACACACACACACCCCTACCCACCCATCTCTCTTATGGCAACAAGAAATGTCTCCAGACATTATCAGATGTTCCCTGGAGTAGGGGCAGAAGGGAGAGGCAAAATCACCCCTATTTGAGAATCATTGATTTAGATTAATGCAGAAAACATACGTCTTGAATTTTATAGTAAAATCAGGATTGCAAAAAATTTTGATTGCTAAAAGATGGTATATATAAGTAGCAAGATAAATATATAAGGTTCTGTACTTGCGGGGAAAAAATTTTGAAGTACCTTCTTCAGGATACTCATGTTTTCTTAACCATTCATATGAAAATGACTAGGTTTTAATGATTTTAAGTGTTATTTTATGATTTAGTGTAATTAGATGATATTTTGTTATTTAAGATGATTGCTGAAAAGAGGGAAGAGAGGGATACTAAATCTTTTCAAACGATTATTTTCACTTCCCATGCCCCACCATTCTGTTTCTAAAAGGCTCATTTTCAGTACTTTTTTCCTACTTTCAAAAATGATTACTGCTTTGAGTCAGATAAATTTGAATTTGAATATTACCTCTGTCATTTAGTACATACTAGGTGACCTTTGGCAATTTCAAATTTACTATTTGAGAGGATTAAATGAAATTATACCTAAAGTAGTACCTGGCACTTAGTAAATAATATACAATGACAATTCAAGGTCTGCTTCTCTTATCTGAAATCCTTGGAGATATGGTAAATTTCCTGTATTCACCTTTAGGAGGTCTGGAGCAGCATTATATAATCAAACAATACTATGTCTGCAGTGAAATCTGCAAATGTGTACATTATAATGGGTAAATAATGATTGTGAACGGGCTCAGGCAGGTTTTGCTGGCAAAGGTTTAATGAAAAAACTTTCAATTTCAGGTATTTGGGGATTTTCTAACTTCACATGAGATTTCGGTCCTTTGTACTAAGATGATTGTTATAACTGCCTTGGTATTAAATTGGTCATTTGCTTTTTTAAGCAGCTTGAGCTAAAATATAGTCAAAAACCCAAATTGAACTTGTTTAAAATTAAGTGTTCCAATGGTAATTTTTTAATAGAGTGAAGAATTCTTTATGCTGTTTTTGTAACTTTTCTGTGAAATCTGAAATTATTTCAAAATACAAAGCTTAAAAACATCTATATATATAAATACTCTCATGTGAAGTGTGACTAATGCTATGGCTGAGTTACCTCTGTAGAACTATCAGTAGGTTATACAGCAGGTGCAATAGCTACTTTAGAAACATAGGTCCATTGTAAATCCAGGCATCCTTCATGGCAGGAGGTTTTGACTGGTATGGGTGTGAATCGAGTAAATCTCATATGTAAAACTGTGTGATGTGTAAATTTTTCTAAGAATAGGAAGTGTAATTTTCATTTTATAGTCAAAGTTGGGTATAACACAATTTTTTGTGAGGTCAAAAATGCAGTTAATAGTGAGACACCTGGTGGCTTGCTCAGTTAAGTGTGTGACTCCTGATTTTGGCTCAGGTCACTATCTCAAGGTCATGAGATTGAGCTGTGTGTTGGGGTCCATGCTGGGCTGGAGCCTACATAAGATTCTCTCTCTTCTCCCCTCCCCCCACTCCCCTTCACTCATGTTCTT